TAGTACTAGTAGCAGTAGTAGTAGTAGTAGTAGTAGTAGTAGTAGTACGTGTAGTAGTATGTGTAGTAGTACGTGTAGTAGTATGTGTAGTAGTAGTAGTAGTAGTAGTAGTAGTAGTAGTAGAGTAGTAGTAGAAGCAGTAGCAGCAGTTATAGTGGTACTCGTCGTCCTCATGATAACAATACTGGTGAATATCGCAAACATGTAAATATGATGAAGATGGTGCTGCTGCGGATGGAGGTTTGCTAGATGGTGATGACTGTGATGATGGTGATAATCTTGCTGCGCAGCTGGATTACGGTAGTGGCACTGCTGATGACGAATGCCGTTGCCAACCCTGCAGCCTGTGTAATCCTAGACCCTAGACCGTAAACCTAGACCTCAGGGCCTACGCTACAAATCCCCTGGAGCCACCACAAATACGATTTCGAATAAAACGCTGGGTTTCTAAATCAAGATAATCAAGACAGGAGTTTAGGGGTTGGGGTCTCGGGGGTTGAGGATAAACCCTACACCCTAAACCCTAAGCCCTTTACGGGTGTCTGGTCTCCCCATTAAGAAAACCAGCCTTCACACGCCAAGCATCGGATCCTTATCTTCATAGGACTCTCCAGGGCCTTAAGATCCTACACCTTAAACATCCTTAAACCTGAACCCACGATCCGGAATCTTAAACTAAACCCTGAAACCGTAAACCTCAAATCCTGAACCGTAAACCGCTCAAGCCCGTATCTTTCTTCATGGGGCACTCGTCACACACCACGAAACGGTAGGGCCGCCCGCGGGCGTCTCGCAAAAGATGCTTTTGCCTGCTTTCGTTAAGGCTGGGGGTCTGGCTGGTTGAGGGTTCTATTGGGTCTTCTTGAGGGTTGACACGAATTTGCTCTCCGTGTTTTGTAAGGCTTTTGCAAGGATGTTTTGGGGTGAATGGAGTTTAGGGTTTAGGGGTTACACGATCGGTTTTGCGAGCTGCGGGGTTTAGGCGTTCAGGCGTTTAGGGTGCAGCAAGACTGGAGATGAATGATGTCCTGCCTTGACCCTAAGCCCTACACCCTAAACCCTAGGCCCTAAGCCTTAAAGGAGAATTTTAATTCTGTCCTGCAGGGCCGGGTTCTGGGATTGAGGGTTATTTAGGCCGGCTTAGACTAGAAGGAACTTCTGATGAGATTTACAAGAGGCCCGAAGCCCTGAACCCACCTAAACCCTAAACCCTGAACACCTAACCCCTAAATTCTAAACCCCTAAACTTTAAACCCTAAACCCTAAACCCTGAACACCTAAACCCTAAACTTTAAACTCTAAACCCTGAACCCACCCGTAAAGTTGCAAAGATTTTCAGAGCCCTGATTCAATTCCAGGCCCCGCGACCCGACAAAACTCGAAACTCTAAACCCCCCAGACCTTCCATACTAGTAATTGAGTAGGGTTTAGCGTTTAAGTTTTTTTTTTAGCGTTTAGGGTTTAGGGTTTAGGGTTTAGATACAATATAAGGAATGTACCTTACATGACTGTAATAATATAAGAAGTATACGTAGGTACCTTACATGATAGTAGGATCCCGAATACCTTGCAGAGGGCTCAAGGGCGAAGAGGGCTGCCTTGCGAAGCACGACGAAGCTGCTTGAGGGTTCCCGGCTGCGAGTTTTGTCTAGCGTTTGAGTTTTACATAGAGTAACCAAGGTACCTAAACAAAAGCTGAACCCGAAAGTTCTTGAGGGTCATATTCCATTTCTAATGGTTACTCTAGGTAGGATTTATAGCCCTCTGCAGTGGCCAAATCGCTTCCCAGCCCGCCTGACCAGCAACGCATACGACACGATGACCCAGGATGCATCAGGGTCAAGAGGCGTACTGCCAGCGTAGATGACCTGCACCTGCTTCGCGGACAGATTCAGTAGTTACCAGTATCTATCCCGAAAGCTTAGACTGTAACTTGCGACCCTAAACCCTAAACCTTAAAAGGCTTCGGGTTTAGATGGGCTCAGGGTTTCGATTTCCATGGGCATCGTAGCTCGCAGAATCACCAGACCCCAAAACCCTAAAGGCAAAGAAATTACTAACGTCGGATCCGAGTGGTAATCAGGGTTTAGGGTTTAGGTAATGTACACCGACACTTCGTCAACCCCGCTCTCTAAGAGCCGTGATATTACGATCCCTCTTAGGATTACGGATGCTGTTCCGTCGGGCCCCTTACAGTCATAGCATAGTATCCCCCAAAACCCTGTCCTAATTATCAAGGCCCGTCTATTACAAATTCGATGGCTTACCAGCCCTACTAAACCCTAAACGCAAAGCTCTTCTTAGGTGGAGCTCTCGGGTTAGCAACTTCGCTTCCGGGGTTAAAGCTTTGGGTTTTGGGGGTTCGAGGGGGAAAAAGCTTTTTCTTGTCCGGGGTTACGGGTGTAGGGCTTACACGGCGTGTGCAAATATGTTGACATCTCTATATACACACACACACATAATGCAGACAGACATGCATATATACATACATAACTTAAGACATAACCATTGAAGAAAGTGTATGCATACATCTATAAGACAGTTATACACGTTATATGTATATGTGGTCCTAGTTTGCATGAAGTTCTTGAGGGAGGACAGAGTCCTAGGCTTTGGCCAACGGGTCTGCCGAGTCGACATGGGAAAGCCGGGGGTCGGTCGAACAAGTGGCAACAGTACGGTTGATGATAGGGTTTAGGGTTTAGGGTTTAGGGTTTAGTGATAGGGCCTAAATAATTACAGTGATCCCCAGAAAGTTGGAACATGGGTTTAGGAGGATTCGTGCTAGCATCCCTTATACTTTACCTTAAGGGCATTAGAATAATAATGCTCCAACTTTCTGGCTTCTACTATACCAAGTTCAGGGTTTAGGATTTAGGGTTTACACTATGGTTGATGATATAACTCCTGCATTGCCCATAAAAAGAACATACCATACTTCCCATATTTTTGGATCCTGAAGGTAATTCAGGATTTATAACATCAACCGTATTCCCTGATAGTTGCTATATCTAGATTGGCCGTTTAAATCGTCTGAAAGTACTCGTAGATAAGATCCTCTTACGCCCGAAGAGAAACATGTAACATCTCCCACAAGCCTACCTAGATGTAGACATATGCAGCAGCAAAGTCGCCCCCAAAAGGAACTACAATGGAGACTATAGGGAACCCCTCGACCCTAAACCCCTAAACATTAAACCCTAAACATCCCTAAACCCAAAACCCAAAACCGTAAACCCCTAAAACTCCCAAAATCGCCAAGAAAAAGATGCCTTCGCCCTAAACCCCAAACCCAAAACCCTAAACCCCTAAAACCCCAAAATCGCCACGAAAAAGATGCCTTCGCAGGATCCACACCGGCCCAACGCCGCAGTTGCTCCAGCCAAACCTTCGCGTTTGAGTACGTCTCTACATACGGGTCCGTGAAAGGGACCCTAGCCTAATTTAGAGAGCTACCCATTTGGGGTCATCGGGTTTAGGGGTTTACGGTTTGGGGTTTTCGGTGTTTGGGTTGCTAGGGTTTGGGGATTGGGGCATTAAGCGCAAACGCAACATTGCGAAGCCATGAGAATCTTCGTGAATGCAAAGTTCTCTTTCAATTAGCTTGTAAGGGAGGTTAACCACCTTATAATACGGGTTAGGGTTTAGGGTTTAGGGTCATTATAAGGATCTACAGCACATTATACGCATTCTCCACGAAGCCGCAATCGCCCTGCAGGGTTCTCAGGTCAGACTCCAGCAATGCTAAGGAATCTCCAGTCACACCCTTGTATTTCTCCAAGAGCTCTGACTGTGGTGATGGTTGTGGGTCTGGCCCTTTTTGGAGCCTTTCTGCCTTTATTTCAGAAGCCTCTGGGGTTTAGGATTTACATAGGGTCATCGGAAACTCCAGCACTATCCTACCCGCAAATAGACTTGAAAATTTGGATTTGTAGAACTCATGGCAAACCCTTGTAATTATAACGCCCCCTTTAGAACTCTAAACCCTAATCTGACCTAATTCTGCATTTCTAGAACCCATGGCAAACCCTTGCAATTATAACCCCCACCCCCATTTAGAACTCTAAACCCTAACCTGACCTAATTATGCCGTTCAGACCACAGCCACAAAAGACGGCGTCCTCCAAAGTCGGTGAAGCCCGGCACCGGAATGCACCCGCCAGAAGCAACATGCTCCCCAACACCGATACCCTAAAAACGGAGCCCTAAACCCTAAACAGCAAACTTTGAAACTCTAACTGTAAACCCTAAACAGCAAACTTTGAAATCCTACACACTAAAACCCTGAACAGCAAACTTTGAAACTCGAATCCCGTCCCTTATAACACCCTTATCGAAATCAAGGATTAGCTTCAAGGACCGTCTGAAATCCGCGTCCGAGAATCACCCAGGCCTTCCAACATATTTTAATTTGGGGAGTATACCTTTACATGATAGTAGGATCCTTAAAATGATCTCAGGTATATGTCCTTAATATTAATTAGGAGGTTTTGGAAGGTCCGGGCAGCTATTCGGAGTAGGAACGTTTGTGTGTGCGTCTGGGGGGATCTAGCTGGAGATCCCAAAACCTACTGTCGCACGGGTTACACCGCGTAGCTAAGGGCTCATAACCTATCATCTTGTCGGGTTTGGGGCTACGGGTAAAAACTGGAGGCAGGGTAGCGTGGAGTGGGTTCTGCTATTCTACGGGCCTTTAGTGATCGTCTTCGGAGTTTACACACGGACACCAGCTTGAACCTCGAAAGCCTTGTCGCGCTTGGCCTTGGCAGCAACTTTAGCTACGGCCTGTTGGCGTGCTTCAGCCAGCAGCTTGCCGCCGATGCGCCCTACCGTGGAACTCGAGACGGCGATGCTTGCACCGAATGCACTTCTCTGCCGGTCTGTTCTCCTCGGTGTTTCTGAAGTCGACCTTCTTTCGCTCCCAAGTCCATTCTACCGTCTTGCTCTTGGCCGTGTCCAGATCCATGCCGTGGGAGATCTCGCGCCGGTAGTCACCCCAGCCATCTTGGCTCGTCTTTTGACAAGGCACAGAGAGAAAAACATTTAGGGTTTAGGGTTTCGGGCCTAGGCCTTCTATGAAGATAGAGAGAAAAACAAACAACTCCACTTGCGAGAAACTGCAATACCGCTTGTTTGTAAGGGCCAGTGGAGCTAAAGGTCATGATGTGCAGCTAGTCCTGCGGTACAATTCGGAACAACTTGAAGACTTACGGTTTAGGGTTTAGGGTTTAGGGGTTTAGGGGTTTAGGGGTTTAGGGTTTAGGGTTTAGGGTTTAGGGCAAGAAGATAATTTTTCCACACCCGAGGCCCCTAAACCGTAAACCCTTGAACACCAGAAAGCCTAAAGAGCTAGACCGTCAAGTTTCAAGGGACTAAAGGAAGGACCTTTAAAGAGACCCTTGGGGTCATATGGGGCTTTATGAGACTATATACGGGGTATAGAAGGGTTATATAGGGTATTTGGATTTGGGGCCCCTTCTAGGGGTCCCTCCTACACCCTAAACCCTAAACCCTAAACCCTAAACCCTGAACCCTCAGGCCCTCCTACTGTCGTTCAAAAGTTCGGAGGGGAAGGGCTGGTGCCATAAATAGGGCCAGGTCGCCCCACGCAAGGAGCTCGGTGCCACAACGAGGATCGGGTCCTTGAGAATGTCGGTGTTTACTAGATGAGCCCTTGTGACCCAGGATCAACATAATAATGTCGGGGCCTTATAATAATTACCAATACTATTTTGGGGGTTTCCGTTTTAGAATATTATAGTATATTATCCCGAAAACCCTATTCTAATTATTGAGGCCCCTATATTAATATGTTGAAAAATCTCCAGGCCTTCATTGTCTATTTCAACAGAACTGACTAACAGTTCCTCAAGGACCGGCCAGTTCTCGGGCTTTAGAGTTTCAATGTCTACGCTGTTTGGGGCTTTCGCGCCAAAACTGCTGGATTCAGGGATTAGACATGGGTAGTTCTCCAAATGGTGGTCCTTTAGGGTCCTTTTTACAAGGATGCCGTACTATTTTGGGAACCAGAAACAGGACCCTAATTTAGAGAACTACCCATATGAGCGACGAAGGTTATTCAGTATTCGGCTAAAGGACGCGCATCCTTACTGTGGGCCGTTGTCTCGTTCCCCAAGGAGGGCTGGATTCCGGATGCATGTCATAAATTCGGAGATCTTGTTCGAGCATGTACTATAGATAACTGCATGCCATAAGGGCTTAATGCTGTAGCAGCAGTGA